TAAGTCTTCCAGGTAGCCTGTCTCTGTCCGGGGCCCAAAGGGATACGCTGTGGCAGGTGGGGATTTTGTTAGATGAGGACAGGAGATGCCCTCTCCTACTGGTTGTTAGTTTCAACCTCCTCCATTACCAACTTTTCACCACAAATGTTAACCAGAAAGAAATCACTTTGTGTCAGTTTTTCCCTTTTTCCACTTCTTCAGCTCACTTTCTGTTGGAGAGGCTTTTTCACAGTGAAATGACTAAAATTCAGGCAGCTGGGGAGTCTGGAAGCGAGAGCCATGCAGCAGTCACAAGCTGGCTGCGTTTCTGGAAGAACTGCGGACCAACTAAGTGACTAGTTGAAGGACAGTACCAATGTGCTTTGGAGTCGAGCATATCAGAAAGTCTGTGTTGCATTTCTTGTTCTCCTCCCTGGGGAGATGCAGACCCGGTTCATTTTGTGCCGGGCACATCCTGGAACTTCCCATATCTGCCCCCTTCTCCCACCGCTGGCCATCCCTGCAGCGTGAACGCAGTGCTGGCATTGTCCACGGCAGACCTGGGCCTCTGCTGAGAGCGGGTGGGCTTCTGCACTTTACAAACGCATGAGGCACGGGAGAAGACAAGCTTAAGGAATACCATCTTGGCATCCTGAAAATTACATCGCAAGTGCAGTGTCTTCTGTCCTCAGAACATCGGCAGAGTTGAAGATGACCAACGTCACTGGAGATATAATCTCATTAAGCAAGCACGTGCTATGTAGGGCATGCTCCAAGTTTGGTTTTTTCTCCTCCTCTTCCTGAAACATACATGCCAATCTAGGTAGCTGCAAGATTAATATACAGATGTCTGTGTAGCCATAGTGCCACCAGGAGCTTCGTATCTGTGCTGAAATAGAGGCTTCTCGTTACTCTGACCTCTTCATTTAGGCTTAATAACAGAGATGAGCTTGCCCTCAAAAGCAGTGCGTGCGGGCAGTGGGGAATGTTTTGGATTGCAAATTGACCTCAGGGTTGCAGAAGTTTTAGAGAATTGGGGCATATCTTGTACAGGGAAGTAAAGACTAAATCATTTTCACTTGCTCTATTTCTCCGTTGAAAAAGTTCTCCTTTAGTTACCTGGGATCCCGCATCCTGAAATGGCTGCTCCCATACCCCCTTCAGCCCTCCTTCCTTTATCTCTTCCTTTTGCTGTATTCATTGCAAGGAGGATCCGCGGTCTGTACTGTCCGTGAGCTGCCTGGACGTTAAGGGATCACAAGAGAGGCAGTGTAGCTTAGTGGGTAAGAGTGCAGACTGCGATGCCAACCTGCCTGTATTCAAATCTGGGCTCAGCTCATAGGCATGGGCAGTCACTTCACTTCCCTGTGCCTACATCCCTTCATCCCTAAAATAGGGGTAATAATAATGATAGTAGGGCCCTTGTGAGGATTAAGTGAAGTTAAAGTACACAGGGTACTTTAGAACAGTGCCAGATACTTAGTAGCAATATATGCGCCAGTTGCTATGTTTTATTGAGCATGTACTATGTACTAAGGACTTCACCTTGAAATACCTTACTTAACCCTTGCAGCACCCTTAGAAAGAAGGCATTTTTTAAACCTTTTTCCAGTGATGAAACTGAGGCTAGAGAGGTTATTGACCTGACCAGAAGGCATTTAACTATTAAATGGCCAATATGGAATTCAGACTCAGATCTTTCTGATGCCAAACCGTGTGCCAAACCACTGCACTCCCCCAGAATGAACGCATACGAATGCAGAGCATTGCAGCCGCGCATGCGACCTGAGACTCATGTTCTCTGTTAACCTAATATCGTCTCTTTCTACGATCTCCTGTTGAGTTCGTAGGTGTTCAGAATGGTTTGATCCCTATCCAGCTGAATTCCTGGGACCAGACGAAATCCAGGTCTCTACTCCTCTGCCATCTTGCTCCTCCCCAATCTGTCTCTTTCTAGATAAGACCTCATGTCAGGCTTATGCTGCCTTGACTTATGAAAGTGTCTTCATTGATTCTTTGCCCCGTAACATTGCTCGTCCTTTTGTGCCTTTTTAGTATTCAGTGTGACTCCCTCTCCCTCAGAAGAAACCTTTTCTGTTCTACGCAGGATAAAGCTGCATCCGGGGTAGAAAATTATTTGGAGTTTTGTTGCCCTCTGTGATTGTCTCCCTTTCGACTCAATTTCTTCTGAATGGCTTGGTGATAATAGGGCTCCTCTCCTCCCATCAGTGGAAATCTGTGCTGTTGCAGAGAACACGTGAGGATGCAGAGCTAGCCCACTTCCACTTCTTAGCAAAACCTAGGAGGATCTTCCCAGCATGTAGCACGGCAGCCTCGGCCTGGTTCACCTGGAAACCTGAGGGTTGGTTTTAAATACCTGTGGTCTTTACCTGCTCTTAAACTGTTATCCAACCTGCATATGTTGCTGCTGGTTTGAAGCATTGGCCACCAGCGTCACAATGTCCCACATGGACTGCTACTCTGGCCACCTGACTTGTCTTCTGCAAGCCCCCCCGCCCCACCCCGGCAGAGCTTCCTGGAGCTGGAATCTTATGCCATCCCCCACTTTCCTAAAGTACAACGGGCTTCCCGCTGCTGGTGGGACAAAGTCATGATCCCTGCACGCAGTGTGCCTGCCCGAGGTTTTGGCCTCATGTCCCTCCTCAGTGTGCCTTCTGCCAGCCCCGCAGACTGGCTGTGAGTTCGGGCTGTGCAGGGGACACATCCCCAGCCTCTTGGAACCCGACCACCCTACCCCCCTTCAGGTCTCAGCTCAGTTTGGGCTTCTGCAGTTCTTGGGCTTCCCTGAACTCTCAGATTTCCAGTGCTTTCTATAGCCAGGGTCCCAGTAACATGCAGGCCCATTGCCTGACCTTTACCCCGTGCCCAGGGATCAGCTCTTGGTGTTTCCCTTGTGAACCATCCACTCAGACACAAGGATAGCTCCACCCCCTTGTCTGGAAGCTCCAGAGCTAATGAGGTGGGGATTAAGAAACCTTACCCTCTGGGTTTGACCAGCAATTCTCCACGGTCTCTATGTCCTTAAAAGTCCTTTGATAGTAAACAGTTTTCTTACTGGAAGAGTTGGAAATTAACCTCATCACCCAGAAGTCAGCGACTCTTCCAAAATCAGAGTGACTTTTTCTTCATTCATTTTATACAAGAAAACTTTACACTTTCAGTCAACTCGTAAGGAAAAGGTTCATTTATGCTGCTTTTTGAGTTAGACCGAGGTACAAATAAAAAATAGCTCACATTTATTGAACACTTCGTGTTTGCCAGGCACTAGGAAAGCATATTCTATGGACCATCTTACTCATTGCTGACAGCTTCTCTATGAGCTGTGGATGCTGAGATCATCCCACTTTATAGACAAGAAACGGAGGCTCAGAGAAGCTAAGTCATACGTGTCAGGTCACACAGCCAAACGTGGTAGAGTTGGAATTTGAACTCAGAGCTGCCCACCTATGAGCACATGCCATTAGCCACCATACTGCATTGCCTTGTCCTATTGACTATTCTGTATCACTTGCAGGTGATGAGCTGTGTAGCATAAAACAGTGTTTCCCCATTTCCCATCACCTACTAGCCTATAGCCGGTTCACTCTCTAAGCCTATTTAAATGGTTTTATGTTTAAAATATAACTAAAAAGCATGCCACACAAAGTTGCATTAAATCTAGCATAACAGTCATATAAAATCATATTGTTAATTCGCTTTACTTTTTTATAAATATATGTCTCCCATTTTTATCTTAATATTTCCTTTTAAGATTTAGTGGCAGTAACCGTAGCCTTGAGGCATGTTTAGAAAAGCAACACCAGTCATGGTGGTGCTCGGCTTGGTATGCCTTTGGATCTTTTCTTTCCCCTGATGGGCAGTTTTGCAGGGGACTCCATCCCTGCAGGCTGCCTCTTCCTGGCTTCAGGGAAGGTTGGGCCAATCAAGAGGCCCTGGTGGGAGATGAGGGTGGGGCTTAAGGAAGACTACTTCTTTTCTGTCTCCTGATCTTCATGGCTCTGGGCTGCGTTACTGCCCGCTATGGACCTTCCGCCACCTGTGTACCCAGTTCCCTCCATTAAATTTCCTACTTTGTAAATAAATTGGGCTTTCTGTTCTCCAGGTCCGACTTTACTGACAACTGCGGTATTCTCACATGCGATCACAATACTTATTTACAGTTTACTTTGGAGGTATGGACGGTGGATGCTGCCATTGGGTTAAAATCCTCTGATTTAAAACATCCAGAGCCTTTGTGTTCAGAGTTGCAGTGGTAGTAACAGAGCAAAACCCTGGCTGGGTGTCTGACATCCCTGATTCTAGTTCTAGCTGAGTCACTCAAGGAACTTAGAATCACTCAAGTCAGAGCCGCAGTTTCACAGGAAATAAAGGGCTCCCCAGTTAGCCAGCTTAACTCCTTCCAAACCAAGACATTTCTAGGATGCGGTCTCAGTTTCCGTGGGGACCAGTGAGTTGTGTCCTTCAGTGCAATGGCCCCTTGACTCTGGCCTGTGTGCTGTCCTTCTGATGTGTGCTGTTGGTCCTGAGGGCTCAGGTGACAGAATGTGGGTGAGCCAGGGCAGATCTCTCGCCCCTCTGGGAAGAACCTCAGATAGGCCTTTTTGATTCTGAGTCGGGCAGTTGGTCTTCATTTGGGCGCAACACACTGGCAGGACACAGAGTACAAGAGTAAAATTTACTGCTCATCTGTCCTGACTGTGGGTTTAACAATGTTTCAAAGATGATGTTTCATATAGTCACCTTAAATATAAAACCAACCAGTAGAATATACAGATGGTACTCCTCTGATGTCATAGATTTTCTCTTTCTCCATTTTAAGCCACAATCTTCTTATATTCTCTAAACACCATTAAAAAAAACAAACCTTATTCCGTATATGTGTGTGTTTGTGTGTGTGTGTGTGTGTGTATATATATATATATATATATTTGGGGCCAGATGCTCTGGGTAATGTAAATAACTTTAATTTACTAAACTTGACCCCCCTTCCCCCACCCCAGCCCTTTCTTTTCAGAAGATACATTTAGACAATCACCATTCACCTCTAATTCAAAAGACCTGCTACCCAGTGAATCTGTGCTTCACGGAAGAATATCAACGCCAGGTATGGAAACATTATTTGACTTTGCTGCTACTGTTGGTTGCTTAAAATGACTTTTCTGAAATGTGTAAATGTTCAGATACTTTCAGCTTAGATGTGGACGTTTTTCATATGAAGCTAGGCTTTTAAAAAAGAGGAGAAACTCAATTTAAACAGCCACAAAAGTTTATTAAAATAAAGTGTGGTCAGTAATAAAGTCCTTCATTTTTTGCTTTAGGAGCTTATTGTTCTTTACCTGCTGATGTTTCATTCATATATCAAATTTCCTTTTCTTTGAAATAGCAAAGTATAACTTGAACATAATTTGCTTTACACACTGTTAGTATTTCAGGCAGGCAGCCAGGAAGACATAGGAGGGCAGTGGCAAGAACTAATCGTCAGCAGGGAAGGTCGTGACCCTGGTGGGGTGTGGGTGGCCACAAAGACCACTTTGGTTTCCATGGAAGCAGCACAACTCATTAAGATAATCTTGCCACCCGGATTCCGCCTCTCTTCTTAAATCAGAGTATCTGCATATATCCATCTAATGCTCCTTTTTGCAATCTCAGCATCAATACATAATTAATTTATTATCCACTCTTCCTTTTTCATTTCTCCTTTCCAGAGTAGAGGGCAAGATGTGTTGCCCTCAAAAGCATGGCCAACCCTCAGGGCTGTGTGTGTGTTCTCAGAGTTATATGAAATGAGAACATTTGAGAACCACTGCACTGTATCCCATACTCCTCACCGGCGTCCCCCCCCAACCCCAATACCAGTATAGCAGCCGGGAAGCTTCCTGCTGTTGTAACCTTAGTTCCAGTCATTGAGAGAATTTCGGAAGCTCTCCGTGGCCTCTCCACCCATTCACTTGTCCAGGAGAGTGTGGGAGACCAGGGTTACGAGGGTTCAGGAGAAGCTCATAGCAGGGCTGTTGGCCAGGAACCACTGCAATAATAAAGTCCAAGTGTCCTCCACACACCCAAGGAGCCTGGTGTCACAGATGGCTGGGAGATCTGAGTATTTTGCAATTTGGAAAAAGCCGAGTGGCATTTTATGAAATATTGGCGCGGGGGTATCACAGGTCACTGGAAGTAGTTTGTGACAAACAGTGGGGGGAAAGGCAGCTCTTTGTCACCCTTTAGTCTTGTGATGACAGATCCATTTCTTCTCATCCCCAAAGAGTCCAGATACCTACACGCTTTTTAGCTTTGCAGGACTTTTCTATTCAAACACCATAAATAACATGCTTACACAAAAACACATTACATAATATCTGGTTCTAGAGGTGGAAAGAAATTTTGCTTGGTCGGTATCTTCATTCTCAAACAGGGACTATTTGAACTACTGTTTACTTCCCACAGTGTCATTTTGAATAGCCATCTCCCAGGTCCCCAAATTATCACCCTGCTGTTAAGTTGATGGATTGTGACTTTCTAATGTCAAAATAACTGCCTGGGAACTGCCTGTCAGAGTGCTGTGACCCATACAGCCAGCATCCCGTGATGTATATACAAACCCTGCATTGCTGGCTTAATGTTTGGCTTGGCTATATTTTAAGAAGGGTTTATTGGTCAAGTTACAACCCGACCTCAAAGAGTGATATCAGTGTATGTTTAACTGCGTATAGAGGGTGTTTCTGTGGTTTGCTTGACAGACGCATTACAAATTAGATAAACTCACACTTAAAAAGTTAACTTTTATTTTTTGGTGGGAAGTCAGCATAACTGGGATTTTTAAAATGTAAATCTACTGTTCTGAGAGATAATCACTCTATACTCCAAAAAGCCTTTAGGCAGAGGACAAGCAAAATGACTATATTTACATTTTGCTAAAATAGACAACTAAAAAGGGATTTTTTAAAAAAATAAACAAGGTGAGGGGTGCCTGAGTGGCTCAGTCGTTAGGCGTCTGCCTTTGGCTCAGGTCATGATCTCAGGTTCCTGGGTTCGAGCCCTGCATCAGGCTCCCTGCTCCGCGGGAAGCCTGCTTCTCCCTCTCCCACTCCCCCTGCTTGTGTTCCTGCTCTTGCTGTGTCTCTTTCTGTCAAATAAATAAAATCTTAAAAAAAAAAAAAGGTGAAAATGCTTTAGAAATGGAATCAAAATTAGAAAAATTAAAAATGACAAGGACAACTTTGTAATCACAAAGTTCTCATAATCTGAACACATGTTTTGTAAGGAAAGCCCCAATAATTTGGACGAATTGTGAAGAAGACCAATCTGAATTAACAAAGGACTGCAATACGGAGACTTTTCAAGAAAACATCTCTTTCAAGTCTGGATAGCAATAGATGGCCCTTGTATTCCTACTGCAGCTCCCCAGTCCCTTACCCACAACTCTGAAATCCGAAAAGCTCTTCCAACCACAATTTTTTAAATAAGTTACTTGGTGGCAAAACTTAATGGGAGGCTATTTATAGCCCATATGTACCGCCAAGCGTGAAATTCATCCATTTCGTTACAGAAATATCAACATGTTTGATTATGAAGGCCCACTGGAGTGTTATGTAAAATATGTCTTAGGCACCATATTAGCATTCTGAAATAAGAAAAAGTATGAATCCCCAAATACATCAGAGCCCAGGGGTCTCAGAGACTGTGGACCTATAGGTATTCCAGTACTCTGCTAAATGCCGTGCTGGAAGCAAAGAAATTAAAGCTACAGTTGAGGATCTTAAGGTTCAAAGGCATAAGAGTCAAGGATTCTTATAGAAAAATTTCAGAAGACTTAGTGGGCAGCAGATTGCTAAATCACTGGAGATGTGGCAAGCAAGAAGAGTCCAGTGGGGATGTTCTCATGCTGAGGCGGGGTTATTAACAAGGGTCTGGGTTAAAGAGAAAAGGAAGAGGTGGGTAGGAGAGGCAGACAAAGGGCTAGCTCACTGGTTTGGGAGACTGGTGAACTTTGCGAGAAGCAGGTTGAATTAGGGAGGAATAGTGTTTGTGCAGAAACGGGGAAGCCAGGAAGGAGACAGGTAGTGACTAGGCAGAAAATAATGTGTGGTTAGTGTGTAAATAAAAGCCTCAGAGTCCTTAGAAATCTCTTCAGTAGTTTGAACATGACCATTAAAATATTATTTCTGTTCTTTATTTACTTAGCAAATTTCTTCTTTCGAGAGATAATGCAAAGATAAATATCAGCCCAAAGAATTGTCTCAGATTCCCAATTAGGAGAGACCCTAATTAATGAGATTTAACAAGCCTGGTTCCAATCTAAGAAATCCCTTGCAAATGCTGAAGACCCATAGCATTAATTGAGCAGTATATATTGGCATGTGTTTATATACCTTCTCTCAATGGGATGAAACTCTCTTCTAAACACCTGTGGAGTCAGACCGTGGGGCAGAGGAGGTGCGCCATATGAGAGCACCCAAACAGCTCCAGACCAAAGGGATCCAACCTGCACATTGCGAATGTGTCTCAGGCCCGTGGAGAAGGAAGCAAGCGGTATGGGGGATAGCAAAGTGGGGAGAGGTGGGTAGGACTGTGGACTGTGAAGAAATCGAGAATAGCACAGTTAACTAGGCATTTGCCTTCGGCAGATGGTATCTGAGACACACAGCTGCCACCATCCCAGAGAAACAGAATAAACACAGAGCTTCACAGTGTCCTGGCCTTCGTTGCTGCCACTATTTCTAGACTGACTTCCCTGAGAACCAAAGAGTGTTCACGTGCCAAGACCTAACATTTTTACTTGCTGTGACTGTCTTAGACAGAGGTAACAACAGGAATGCTTAATAAAATGATGAGTTCAAACCTGCTATCCCCTTCTGCTGGAGGGATGGGGGGACCAGATATCCTGGAAGCCATGAATAGATGATGGAGTGTACCCTGGGTGGTGGTGGTGCTGATGGTGATTTCCCAAAAGAAATAAAAGCGCTTTCCCATTATGGGGGAGATAGAAATTACCAGCCATGTAGAATCTAAGCTACTTTGTCTAATTTGTAGTGGTCTCACTTTGTAGAAGATTTACATTCATAGAGGAAAGAGCGTGGAGTCAGGTGTTTCTCAGAGCACCACAGGCTGATCTGTATGCAGAGTGGATGTGGGACCGTCCCACCTGCAGCTGCTCCCTGTTGGCCTGGCATCCTTCCGGAAGCAAAGACTCTCAAGAGGAGAAACTTCTGCCCCCTCCAGACAATGTGGAGCTTCCATCCTGTTTGATGATGATTTTGAAGGCACAGTATGTTTGCTCTGTGTTAAGCCGGAAAACAAAAACACAACCAGAGCGGGTGCGAAGGGAAATGTGGGTCTCTCTGGAATTCTCTCACAGTTTGGAGGTACACATGCTTCTGTTTGATATTTCAGAGGGAGCTCAGAGCTAGACAATGCAAAATGTACCAACAATTACATTTGTCCACCCCCACCCTCATTATTTGCCAGCTCCCCTGAAAAAGAAAACGGCACCTTTGGTCGTCCTTGTGGTTTACAGAACACGGAAACAAGACGTAAAGAACTCAGGGAAAATCGAGTCCTTTACAGAACGTGCTCTGCCCATCAGGATCTGCTGTTAAGTTAAAAAGACTGGTTTGGAGTGGCCGGCCTTGTCACCAGACCAATTCTTGATTTATTTTCCTCCCTCTGTTCTGCCCATCAATCTAATACAAGGGGTGTCGTCTCATGTACTTGGCTGAGATCTAGATGAAGCATGCCTTGCATTGACTGACCCCCCTCGATACCGCCCCCCCCACCGCCCCGCAGCTGACTGTCAGCCAGCCCAACTCCTGGCCAGTTAGGGATGACCTCTTTCAAACTGCTGGCTTAGAAGATGTGCACGTCACCTTCCTTTATGTTAACCCTTACCAGCTCAGAGAGAGAGAGATAGACAGGCAGACAGACGGAGCTGTCCTGGATTATAGCAAAGTGTTTTCTTTAATCCTTTTTCAAACACAGCAGATTCATTTTAAATTCAGACTAAGTCACGGATAAAGAGTAGAACATTGAGTGTTGTTGGTGTGTATCGCTTTGTAGCTTAAGGTCCTTTTTGATTCCACAAATTCCTTGTGCACGGGAAAGGAAGCTAAT